GTTGGGTTACGAAGTTGCAAAGAGTTTGCAAAATTTTTTTTCTATTGAAACCGTGTTAGAGATCACGTTTGAGTGGCGGGCTAACGGTTTTATGTAATATTATGGATTCAGTTTTCATTACAAAAGGATGAAGCTTCATGGATGAAGCTTCATAGAAATTTGAATGTATTATAGAAAATCACTATTTTACAGTTATTTGTTTTTGGAACAAATTGACATTTGACAAAAAAACGTTATATACATTTCTTTCATTTTTTTCCCGTAGAATCGATTGCCGCTATCAGTTTTTTGAAAATAATAACTTTTTAATAATTTGTTTAAATAATTTTTTATAAACAATTGCAAACGGCAAAAGAAAAAACAGGGGTATTTTTTTTCGATTTAGCTACGATTGGCATAGTTAGTTTGGCGCTATCGGCAATAGATTTTGCTTGGGATTTGGCGTACTCGTATACACATGTACCTGACAGACTTGCAATTGTTTATAGCCGTTTTACACTAACAAATTGACGTCTGACAAAAAAACGTTATATACATTTCTTTCATGTTTTTTCCCGTAGAATCGATTGCCGTTATCAGTTTTTTGAAAATAATAACTTTTTGATAATTTGTTTAAATAATTTTTTATAAACAATTGAAAATGGCAAAAGAAAAAACACGGGTATTTTTTTTTTTTTCGATTTAGCTACGATTGGCATAGTTAGTTTGGCGCTATCTTTCCCAGGTTTGGCATGGGCCTTAATGGGTTAATGACTTACTTGATAGGCAGTCACTGGCAGTTATTAGTCGCAAATGTCAAAGAAGAGAAAATTTGCGTACTTGATCCTTATGATGGAAATGCAGATGAAGATCGAGCTGTGAAAGCGTTTAAGTCCTTTATTCACAATGCAAACAGCTTTTTGAGATAGCTGAAAAATAAAAGCTGGAAAAAATGGAGGATTGATAACCGACCTTATCAATCAGTAAATAATGGGTACAGTTGCGGCCCGTACGTAATGTATTATTTACATTGCTTAGGGTCCAATGAAGAATTTGATTTAAAATTCGATCCTGAAGAATATAGGATGAAAGTAGCTCACGATCTACTATTACTTTCTCAAAATATGGAAAACACTTGCATATATTGTTTTTCAGAAATTGGATTTATGCCAATCAAATGTAAACGTTGTAATCGTAAAAGTTATATACGATGCTTGAAATACACTGACGTAAATAGTGATGAAGAAGACGAAATACCACTGAACGAGCATTCTAAAAAGAGAAAACTTGAAGAAAAAGTAGAAGAATGTCACATTCGTATGTATACTTTGCCAACGATACAATGTTACGATAATATTGGATCGAGAGTAATTATATAAAAGTAGTTAATGAATATAAATATTTTTTAGTGCTTTTTCAAATACGAAGCTGCTAAAATATATTATTAGAAAGAAGAAGATCAGACGATGCTAAATCTTATAAAACCAGAATTTAATATAACAAAAAATTTTCTTTGATATTTCAATATTATTACAGTATAATAATCTCTAAATAGAGACATTGTACTAATTAGACTAGTGTTAAAAATCTTTTTAGCTAAAATATTATTTTATACGGGACATTACTCCGTTAAATATATAAGCAAGATATTTTTCCTTTCTCGAAAATACTTTAAATTACCACAAATCAGTAGATATTAACTTTTATTAATGGAAAATATTAATAATATTTATTATACGCGTAGTAGCGTTAAATAAGTCTCTGAACTTTTAATAATATAAAATTCTTAAAATTATACGGTAGCAAAAAAACCTTAACAATAAAAAAAAAAATTTTCTTAGCCTCGCGTCGTCGGTATTCGTAGTAGCGAAAAAATAAGTCAGTGGACTTTTCAATGTAACAAAGAAAAACAATTTTTCTTTGCTTCGTGCATCGGTATTCACAGGTGCGAAAAAATGAGTCAGTGGACTTTTCAATCTAATAAAGAAAAACAATTTTTCTTTGCTCCGCACAGACGGTATTCGCAGTACCGAAAAAATACTCGTAAGTCAGAAGATTTTTCAATGCAACAACGAAAGACAATTTTTCTTTGTCTCGCGCAGTCGGTATTCGCAGTAGCGTTAAATAAGTCTCTAGACTTTTAATAAATCAAAATTATTAAAATTATTCGGTTGCAAAATATCGTTACCCTATAAATCATAACAATAAAAAAGAGTTTCTATGCCTCGCGCAGTCGGTATACGTAGTAGTATAAAAATAAGTCAGTGGACTTGTAAATACAGACTTAATAAAATTACTCGTTTGTAAAATATCATTACCCCATTAAACATGAAAATAAAAATCAATATAATATTTCTCTGCCTCGCGCATTTGCCGTAAATGGCTAACAATAATAATATATTAATGCATAAATGCCGTATTAAATGCATGCAGAAACATACAGAAAGTTGATCAACTAAGTTGTTGAAGTCAGTCAATCGACTGCGGTACAGTTATTCAGCTTGTAATGCAGCCACGTTATATTGATGTTAATTTTATCAGAAAAGAGGTACATACAAAAACGTGCAGGTCTCAAGCCCTAAAAAATGCAGAGAGAAAGCTTAAAAAATTAACATTATCAGATATATTGTATGATTATTAAGATAAACATAACAATAAAAAGTTTTATATTCTATGATATAGATTATTTGGAACGGATGTAGAAGTGGTTATTATAGTGTGCGACAGGCGTAAATTACACTGTTAATAAGTATAATCAATATTGACAATACAAACCTGCGATTATTCCGTAACGCTCGATTAATAAAAAAAATCTAAAAGAAACAATGAAATTCCTCGGAATTGTCTGTTACAAACGAACAACGGCATGGTTCTTAAGGTGTACGATAGAGAAAACTACCACGTTAAATGCAATAAATCTTATAATGAAAGAATTACGAGGGGGAATCAGTAAGTCTTTACAAAAAGAAGGAAAAAAAGTTTTGCGTATGTAATTTTTTTTATTTTTCAACATAATCTCTTTGAAAGTCGATACATTTTATTAAACGGCCTTCCAGTTTTTTTAAGCCATCAGAAAAATATGATTTCTGAAAACCCTCAAAATAGGCATTTGTTTCGGCGATGACTTCTTCATTCGACGTGAATCGTTGTCCAGCAAACCATTTTTTGAGGTTCGGAAATAAGAAAAAGTCACTGGGAGCCAAATCAGATGAATATGGTGGATGATCAATTAATTCGAACTTTAAATCGATAATTTTTGCCATCGAAACTGCACACGTGTAAACTCGAGCATTGTCTTGAAGAAAGAGGCATTTTTTTTGTTCAAGTGAGGACATTTTTCTCTGATTTTTTCTTTCAGCTAACCTAATAATGACGCATAATATTGTCCAGTGATCGTCTGACCCTTTTCCATATGTATAATATGTAGATGATTCCATACGCATCCCAGAAAACCGCGGCCATAATCTTGCCAGCTGACTTTACTGTCTTTGCCTTCTTTGGGGCTGGTTCTCCTGCGGTAATCCATTGTTTGAACTGTTATTTGGTTTCAGCAGTGTAGTGGTGTACCCATGTTTTGTCTACAGTTACGAGTCGACGCCAAAAGTCTTCCGGATTACGACGTATGTGTGCCAAAAGAGCCTCAGAGGTGACCGCGCGGGTTCGTTTGTTTTCAACAGTCAGCAAACGCGGCACCCATCTTGCTGATATTTTTTTCATCCCCAATTTTTCATGCAAAATTAAAATGATTGTATATTTATTTTATTTGATACCCCTATGGCCTCAATTAATTCTCGCAATTTTAATCTTCTATCACTCAACACCATATCGTGGATTTTGTTGACCATTTCGGGCGTACTCACTTCTACGGGGCTACCTGAACGAGGTTCATCTTTTGTTGTTGTACGGCCGCGTTTAAATTCATTTACCTAGTTATAAACAGTCTTAAACACAGGCGCAGACTTGCCATGAACGGCGTTCAACTCAACTGTGATTTCTTGTGGCGTAAGACCTTTCAAATGAAAATGTTTTATTGCAGTTATATTAGTTATACTATATTTATATGCAGTTGAAGCATATTAATGAAATGGCAATAAAATATTGTAGAGCAAGCTTTATGCCTCTTGAAGGAATCAAATTCGTACATAGATTTATTGACAATGTAGAATATGAATGATTGGATTTCACTATTTTCAAAATCTATTTTTTGGACTAGTTCGTAGATGCATAGGCAGATGGCGTATTAGAAAATAGCATATTGATTTCCTATAACTGTTTGTAACACGCAAATAAAATTGCAACTTATTATTATATAAAAAAAAATCAGTCGGTGCGTTCACATTTCTAGTCTCGTAATTTCAGGTCTGGCGGATAATTTTTATAAAATGATACTTTGTGTGTAGTGATTATGCTTAATTATCGACACAAAAGTAGCATATTTAAATCATAAATAAAATAGTCAATTATTGTAAAATAATAATTAAATTGGCTTTTTTGTAATTAAATAGTCAAGTTGTCACGGCGAAAATCCATCGATAGGTCTTGCATAAGAATTTACGTAAATTCTAATGGTATTTCTTATGCAATTTCTTACGCAAGATCTTATGCTCTATTTTCAATATAGCAATTTTTGAAAGTGATTATTACGTAATTTGAAGAAATATTTCATTTTTTTATACAACATATATCCTTCGATTTAACTTTTTCTAAATAATACAAAAAAAGCTCAATTTATTCGATACTTCCATTCTTAGTATTTGAATATTTTTTTCGAGAATCGCCCATCCCGAGGTAGTTAGACAGTAAATGGTCATTCAAGCGCCAAGTTAAACCATCCTTAAAAATACAGGTTTTTTAAGTTAAAAAATTTTACTTCAAAGATTCAAACTTGAAACTTTCATTATTTGTATTACATTACAGAGAACAACGTACCTTGGATTAATTGCGATCTGAATTTAATTTTTTATGTGAATAATGGATAGGGAAAACAAAATCAACGTAGAGTATTATATTATCAATGTTCATTTAATTTGCTCATGATAAACTATTAATAATCACATAAAGTTATTAAAGTATAACCAATTATCACTACAGCGTGCGTACATTATTTACAATTCATCGCTACAGCGCATCTCGCGTGAATCACATTTCGTGCATTGTATATGAAACACAAGACACATCTTCTGTGAATATATTATCTTTACACCAGCTAGCTTATTACCTAAATACACGCGAGTGCACTTCATACAAATAATCGTAGAACAACGATAGCATTATATAAATGCAACCGTCACTTATTCACACGAATTTGACTACAGAAGACTCAACAATGAGTTTAGAATGATGATTAAGTGCGCCCTATACAGTTTTTTTCTTTTGTAAAAACGTTTTTTATTTTTTTATTACTTTACATTACGGAGCACTCGCACATTTTTGTTGAAATACATCAAACCTATTTCAACATTGATTGCAAATCCGCTTTTATTACGTTTTTTTTTTTTAATATTTATGTTTGTTGAGCTGACTTTCATAGCACACATAAATCAAAACAATATAGCTGTAATTGTACCCAGTATCCTATTTTAAAATTGTTTCTAAATCAAATATTTTCTAATTAACAATAAATTATTAAATAGATTTATATTCACAGCAATATGATTTAATTAAATTTACCATAAACCCCAATGATTTTACAAACTTTTCACATTATTTTATGAAATAAAAATCGTTAAGAAAACTATTTTGCTTATAAAAAACATTGTATCTGAAGTGTTTTTTACAGGAATAGCATTTGATTTTCTAATATGTATATAATGTTTCGGTAGAATGCAATTGTATATGTAATTATAAACTTATTTCAGGCAGTCAAAGTCACCCTAGTTTAGGGATATATATTTTCTTTTATATTCATAATTCATCTGTCATCATACAATAAAAACAACCTTGTACATACAAGCATTCTGTGTTTCTGCAAGTAGCAAATGTATTTTTAAGCAAAGCGCTTAATTATACTATTATCAATTTATTTTTCTCGACAACTGTATGATAGACCAATAACTATTCTTCCATTATTTTCAGTAAATGAATACGCATACTGTATGATTCCATAAATAGCTAATTTTTTCAGAAAATGTGAACAACCTTTTCCTTTAAAAAAATGTTTCATTATGAAATTTAGTGTCATTTTAATAGCATTTTTATGTAAAATATTTCTCATAAGTGACATCTGTATTTCATTAAATTCATAGAAATACTCAATTCTTTAAATGAATGCGAATATCATTGTGGCATTACATAAATATTTATGATGTTCTAAAAATAATATAGATGCTCTAGTCACTTGTTACAGATACGCCGTAGAAATATCATTTAATATTTAAAGATCTTTAACTTCTTCAATCAAAGTGAAAAAAATAGTATCTTGAAAGTAATATTACATTTGAATAGGTTTAAAAATTGTCAAATGCTAATTATGTTTAAGAGTTACACAACGATACATTTTTTTCTGCTAATCAAATTACCGAAACCAATATAAAAGCAATATTTAAAATACTAATGACACCTTTCTATAACTTAATATAATGTATACAAAATTCATCTAAATAACATGTAATAAATAAGTGTTAAATAAGTTTCTGGCCGTTGTTGTCAAATTGTAGCAATTTTTTTTAATATTATACTTTGCTATTTAAAGGCGAAATCATAAAACTGATAAGTAAAGTTGATAGTTATTACCAAACAATTACTGGTTCAAGTTCAATTGTCCGGATTGTCACCAAATGAAGTAATGAAAATATTCATTTATTCATCGTCGTGAATGTTATAGCTCGAAATTAGTTATACTGTCGATTAATATACGTTCGAAAAATATTCTCAATCGGAATGAATGATATTATTATAAATCTGTACTTGGAAGCAAATTTTTAGAAAATATTTACTCATGAGAATAAATTTTGATAAATATCATTATTATGAAATCTATTATTCAGCAATAAAGTAAACTTGAAGATGACAGTCGATCATTGTTCGTTGCAACATTGTACAAAAAATCACCATCATCCTTGAATTCACGCTTTTTTATAATTTCGCACATAATATAACTTCCTTTAAATAACATTCATCGTATTTACATATTTTTATAGCGCAATCGCTAAATTTAATTTGTAAATTTCAGTAACTACAGAAATTTGACACACGAGTACTTTCGTCCCATGCATATCAATCGTCCAATTTGTAATTCGTACACTCAAGACGCCTTAACAGTATTTTTATAAGTTTATTTTTACATAAAAGTATCTATACTCCAGGTAAATTTATTTATACAAATAACAATACATCTAAACGCGTTGACGTCGAGAAACTGTACAAATCGCTTTAAAATCGGAAGAACTGTGAAAGCTTTGCGATTTCATCACCGTCTTTTGAATTATCTTTACTTTTAGTTGGCTTACTTTAAGATGTATATTGTGACCTGGAAATTTTCTGTGGCAGTACGATTGGTAGGAATGTTAATTAAAAAAGAGGAAAAGGAAAAGAATTAATACGTACAAACGAACGACGATCATACTTGTTCTCAAGAGGGATGCGCAGGCACAATGATTAAAAATACGATTTGGAGACTTTGGCACTTGGAGTTATAAAAAAGTGAATCGTTAAAGTTAAGATCTGAAGAGTGCTCGATTAAAAAATCAACAAAATATATGAGCAAGTATAAGATAAGACGATTGAAATGTAAAAGATAAGTCGTTGACTCGGAGCTTCAATGCTCATGCCCCTTGAGAGCGAGTGAGATAAATGAGAAAAGAGGTGTGTAGTGAAAAAGAGGTCGCGGGATATAACGAAGCACAAGCCCCTCGGCGTCACTCATGCATACGCGTGTCGTGGCTTCGTTGTTCCTCTTAGTCGCACCGGAAAGATGAGGCGACGACAAGCGCCAAAGCTCCGAGGCAGCGTCGCTGAGTAGTTTGCCGCTCGCTCATCGGACGAAGCGCAGGGAAAGAGCAGAAACGCCGTTTACGTGGCTACTGTAGCTGCGATGCGAGAGCGACTACAGTATTATTATTTACAAATATATATTCGCGAGTACAGCGTCTAAATACAACGTCGCGTGTCGCGCGCGCGTGGTTGAATGATCAATCGGCTATGTATAAGCAGCAGTGTAGCGTCACTTGACAGCCCCCTTATCAATATATAATAAGTTTCGGTCCACGTAATTGCTATGCGTAATCTCATAATTGGTTACTTTCATGAACATCCTGCCGTAAAGGTTGCGCCTGAACAATCCTCCCGTTCCCTCTCGCAAAGATATCACTTTGTGAGTTTGCGTGTGTGTGTGCGCGCGTGTGTGTCTGTGTGTGTGTGTGTGTGTGTGTGTGTTTAGCATGTACGTATAAACGCTGCCTTAGGATATATATATACTAAATGCTCGACAGCCGTAGCGAGGCTTGCGCTTGCTGCCCGAGCAAAGATGCAAAGCAGCTGCACTGATTCCCGACAATTGCCTATTGATAGAGTGCTTTAGGAGTGGCGTCCAAATCGCCAGTGAATTGGCTTGAATTTTACAAGCTGGAGGCCGCTCTGAAGAGAGGATTTTTGCCTCTGATGGGCAGCACGTGAGCTTCCGAGTTGAACACCCATTCGTCGAGATTGATGAGATCGTCGTCACTGAACAGCAGGTAGAGATACTGCAAAATAAGCGGCCAAAGCATGAGGCGGATGAGCGCTAGTGAGGGTGGGGGGGGGCAAACCAAGGTGGAAAGCGTATCGAAAGGTACCTTGAGCGTCTCGGCGAAGAAATAACTCTGCTGGACGTCGTCTTTGGGAGAATCCAGCTGGTAAACGTTGTGCAGACCGGTGTAGCCGCCGGGCACGCGGCAGTAGGTCTCCAGGGCCTGCACGGCCTCCCAGCCCCATTCGCGGTACTTGGGATCTTTGGTGAGCCTCCACAAGATGAAGTACGACTCGAATGTCTGTGGACAGGCGCGCAATGCGACGTGAGGCTCGGCGAGCGCGCGAACGTACCGGTGGAAGCGAGCTCTTACCTCTGGTCGTAGGATGTAGTATTTCTCGCCGTTCTTCAAGCTCTTGGCCTCGTTGCCCTCGATAAAGTGGAAGGCCTCCGGGCCGAGCTTGGTGGCACTGCGGTCGTACGACTCGTGGCAAGTGTTGGTCAGCCCGGCGGCGATGTCCATGTGATGATTACTCACTTCGTTCTCTTGGGTTTTAGCCCCGAGCGCGAACATGCCACCTGAGAAGTACGCAGAGCCGAGGGCATTAGTCGCCAGCGCCTGCGCCTTTTTAACTTGCGCCAACTCGTCCTCGTTAATTTGTCGGGCGTGCGCGCGCGCGCGACACGCCAGACGACCGCTTCGATACAAGCGCTACGGAGAGCTTCGCCCAACTTACCAGCGAAGCAGGCGAGGTGTCCCATCTTGTGCTCGAGCCGCTCGTACTGTAGGTCTGAGGCGTAGATCAGACCCGCGGGAGACCTGACGATCATGTGCTTGACCACCGCGTCCATCGCCTCGTCGTACATCTCGCGCGCCTCACCGTCCTCCTTGCCCGACTGGATCCATGCCTTCAGCAGGTACTCGTAGAAGCTGTCGCCCAATCCGCCCAGAGACATGTGATCTGCCAACAAGTCCCGGTTTTTCAACTATTACTCGGGTATCCTCGGTCCAGCCGAACGAGCGCGAGGCCAGAGTTCGCTATGAGCTTGATCAACGACCCTTTACCGTCGCCGGTTGTTGGCTGCGCCGCTATCCTCTGCGCAACTAACGACCAGGCTTTTCACTCGAATAACCTTATTTTGCTAGCGTTCTCTGTCGCTCTCGTCTTATTAAGCCAACGCGCATCAGTGTTCTGCGAATTTACGAGGATCACAGTTTGTTGCACACGCGGCGTCTAATTATACAAGCCCTATACTTGGATGCTTCACGGTCGCGCCATGCCTCTACCAATTTTACACAACTGGCTTACGCAACGTTCCAAGCCAATCTTTAGTAATCAGAACTGACGTAAATAATCGAAAACATCTCCTATCGCAACGCGAATGTAATGTGCCCATTGAACGTTTAATCGAACGTGCATGAACAAATATTGTTTTGTCTACAGGTCGTTACATGTGTTAGCATGAGTCAAACAAATAAGTACGGCGAACGGCTAAAATATGATGGACGTTTCATTCCGAATGGATACCATTATATTCGGAAGCCGAGTTGTAAGCAGGAACGGCAAAAAATGTAACTGAACCTACTGGCAGCGTAATCGCGCGTTCAATTCCCTCGGGCACTGTCGTCCGTTCGCCCCCCCCCTCTCGCTCTCTCCTCTTTCTCTACATATTCAGCCTGAATTCGTGGATCGCTTTGATCGGCCACGAATGAGAATTAAAGGCTAATGGCTGAAAGCCACAGTGACTGTCGATTTTTTCCTTTCATTTATCTGTTTTTTTTTACATGGGAAAGCAGCGGCATACGATGTCACTGCACTTTTCGCTCGAATGACCGAGCTTTGACAATGCGCAAGCTTCAAAATGCACGTGGAGCAAAGGTAATAGCTGAGCTAATAAGGAGCGACGCGAATGAAATTTAAAGCAGCATTTTCGAGGGTAGGAGCACCTAGAGAGATAGTTAAAAAAAAGCGCATAATATAAGGCGAGTCAGATAAGATGTAAAAGAAAGAATTTCACGGCAGAAGAGTTGATCTTACGGCATAATGAATGAGACTGAGCTAGCTCTCGCGGCCTGGCATTAGAGTCGTAAATTCGTGAAAAGGTGAAAATCCACGCGAGAGAGGCGCAAAGAACTATGTCCATGGTTCTGCTTCTTTTTCTCGACTCGCCGTCTTTCTTTCTACACGTCGCGCACATACTCCCACCCATTCATTTCTCAGCGAATTTCAACGAGCCCAGGTTGACTTTGAAGTTTTAATTAGACTTTTTGGCCGGTCTACCATTGCTACGAAACTTCATATCGACACAAGACTTTGATATTGAGGTTTATCAGATACCAGTTAACGATTGGCTGTTCCTTCTCGCATCGCAACTCGGTCAAGTTCTCCTCTAAATATCACGTACTAATGTGCTGGCAAATAAATGGCTTTAATGGAAATAATTGAATGATCGATGTTCAAGGGAAAAAGAAAAACCAAAGAGACCTTTTCCACGGGATAAAGCCACGCACAAAAATAAAGCAGATCTGCAGGCCCAAACTGAGGCTGAAGGTGAAAGAGATCAAGACAGAGTGAGTCTTATTACTATAATCCGACGTCATCTGTTACTTCTTCGGCTCTTAAATGCGCGTCGCTTTTGTCTCTTTTTTTTCTTGGGATTTAAGAGGATTACAGAGGCCACCCAGAGGAGTTTTGCCAGAAGGAACGCCAGATAAAATAGCACAAATGAAGGATTGAAAAAACGCTCGCGCGCGTGTGTGTGGCTCGCTCCAAAAAGTAACCTCCGACTGCTTACCATTTTTACCCACTCTAATCTTTTATTCGGTTATACGAGGAAGAAAAAACGCTCGGATCAATCATGAGCGGCTTATTGTTATCGCTATCGCGACAAGTCTGGCTGAATTCTCATATGAACTTACGTCGACCCCATTTTCCAGTTTTTGGATGAATGTAATTCGGATACAGTCCCTTTGGCTTTTCAAGATTCTTCAGCGTTCTCCTGACGTGCTCCACTTTGCTTCTGAAGATGGAATTCCCCGTGATGTCACTCAAGTAAGCAAACTCCAAATGCATCGTTCCGATCTCAGACAGGATACTGCAGCCGCTGCTCGCCCAGCCGTAATTCTTGCTTGCCTATCGTTCAGACAATTATTTTATTACCTTTTCTTTACCGCCGCGCAAAAAAAAAAATCTACTTTCCCACACTAGTGGCCAATGTACTACTTCCTAACAAAGTGCGCAAAGCACAACTGTTTTCCTTACTGTTCTATAGTTTACCAACAGCGTGTTCGAGTCATAAAGTGCCATATTCAATTTAAGCGTATAGACCAGTTTCGTTTACTTTCAACCGAAACTCGACATAGCACACCTAAGCGTAGAGCTGGGATGGGGCAAGAGATTCGGACAGCGTAGTCCCCCGACAAAAATTAAATAAATTATAAATGAAAAATATCAAAATTTTAATTGCTATGGTTACGATATAATTAATTTCATTATCAACTATTAAAAGTTCTTAAATAATTTAATACAATTTGATCTTCAGGTAAATGGGTATTATTTTTGTCGGTCAATCATCATAATTGTCAATTTGTATATTATTGATTTTGAATTTATATAATTTCTCCTGTAACCCCACTCCAACACTCGATCGCTGCTGCATTTTGCACAATGTGTTAGGAAATATAGTTCAGCACAAATATAGGTAATGTACTATACTCTTACATTGCACTGTGACATTATTACCGATAAACTTCTTCAGACAATTATAGCTTGAGGTACGTATTAATTATCTGACGGTGAATTCGAATAATAATAAATTTATTCGTAATTTTAGAATAATATAATTTATAACGGAAACGATGAAAGATATATACACTAATAAAAATAGTACTTTTACGACAAAACGACTCTAATTTTCAGCTAATTCTCTTGTAATAAAAGGACTAATGTTCTAGCAAGAGGATTCCCTTTATTACAAAGGGAATCTCGTTCGAGGCTATTTTACAAAGATTTTCTTGCGTCAAGAGGAATCCTTGTTACAGGAAAACTCCTTTTCAGTGCACACAGAAAAAGCAGCCCATTGTACGAAGAAGATACATTTGAGTAAACTCCTTTACAAAAGGAATACTTCTGTACCACGAGTAATGTCCTCTGCATCAGAAAAATTCGTCCTGTTACGAGACGATTTTTCTCAATGTGACAATAGTATGTTCAATAATATGTTCGAGCTATTGGAACATTTTTCAATTTAATCAATGAAAACTTGTCTTACGTAAATAATGAATGTTCGTTAAAATACTGAAAAGGAAACTTTCCGATATGTGATGAAAACACGTAGTGCATTTGAAGATGGTTTCAATTATAAATAACAAATTTTTCCAAAGAATGTCCAATAATACAGATGAAATTATTTTTGTTCAGCGCAGACTTCGGTCTGTATATATTGATAATAAAGCAATCATTGGATAATGTTATTGTGAAATAGCAACTCGTTTTAGCGAATTTCCTTCTCAAGTACTTTAGTTGGGTATTTAGAGTAATCTTAAGTAGTTGTCTAGCGAAAAACGAGCAACTCATCCGAACTTGATAGGATCTTATGAAAGCGAATAAAGAATAAATAATTTCTGGCAGAAAGGAAAAATCAAAAGTAGTTTGCCGATCTTGAAAGCGCAATATTGGAAAAAATTGAAGGACGCGGCGAGAAGGGAAAGCCGTGGACACGAGGTATGAAATTGAGAAAATCAGTCGGTCTCGTGCGAACGAATGCAGGTATGTGCTCTGAATGGGCCGTGATCGTTTCGAAAGGTATTAGCAATGGTAAGGAAATGGAATAAAAAGTGAAAACCCGTAGAGATGTATTGTGGGGGCGAGAATGATTATGAAAGACGAAAAGGTAGGAGCACAGTCGATAGGTGTGGGAAGATAGAAGATGGGAATTTCATCAAGTAAGGTGGTGAGAAATTTTCGGAATTTCGACCGAAAGGTATTCGGAGCATTTGCGCTGGTTATCGGGGAATAAATCGTCCGACCTGGTGGCGCTCTCGCGCGAACTGAAAAACGATTAGTCCCCGGAAAATATAGAAGCTGAGGGGCATAGGCTATAGGGGCAAGAGACGTCGGCAAGAGGAAGCCGCGAGAAAGTAAATTGGCGATGCAAGGCCGAGCGAGAGAGCGGAAAGGACGCGAGTGCGCACTTACCCCGGTGTGAAGGTTGATGAGGGAGTGCGGAATGCCGGTCTCCGTTTGGAAGGCCGGCAGCATGCGCTGGCCAAGTTGAGCTGCCTTATCGCGGAACATGACGTCGCCGGTCAAAGCGTAGCAGGCCAGCAGGCTGCCCATGAAGCGAATGTTCATCTCGAACAGCGACATCTCCGAGTTCTGCGAACAAACAAGAGGCACACATTGATTAGCGGGGCACGCAACTGGGCGCTCGAAGGCTCGGAGGTGAGTGCAGCGCGGCTAATTAGTGCGAGAGGGCCTGGCTGGGGCTCGAGTGCGCGCACGGCTTGCGGCTGCGGCTGGCAATATCCGAAAAGCTCGCAGGTGGCGACGGGAAGACGGGGGCGGCCTGCCCGTAATATTGCCGAGGCTTTATGTCGCATCCGATGCAGGCTGTTGCGCCCGCTAGGCCAGCGCCTCGGATCGGGCTGCTTTTCATTAGGCGCGCCTTCGGCTCCCCGCCGCGCTGATAATTCTGTATAATGGCCTTTGTCGCTGTTCGCGATCTGGCGCTGCGCTGTCGCCCGATGACTATCTCTCGCATTCCCAGTCTATCGCGTCGGGCGCGCTCGTTCGCTGGGATTTTTCCGTGGCCAATCGCATTACGCGAGACTGCAGTGTCAGCTAATTGTACAAGCCCGCTTGATTCGCATCCTGCGCGCCTAACGATATACAGAAGCGCGCGCCGGGAAACAAGAAACAATCGAGCAATTAATTACTCCTTGCGCGCAAGCGCTTGACGCACCGCGCCGAACGCCCAGCTGTACGCGCATTATTGAATCGAACCCAGACGAGCCGCTGCTCTCTCTCTCTCTCTCTCTCTCTCTCTCTCTCTCTCTCTCTCTCTCTCTCTCTCTCGGTTTGTCTTGCTCATTAGCCGTGTTGCACTGCAAGCTCAAGTCCCATCCGTTTATTCGGCGCTAATCGACTTGACAATGCTTCATTCGTTACTGCCCAAATTGCCGTCACGGCTAATTTTCCTGCATTTTATCCGGCGAATTCAGGCTGCTCGGCTCTTTATTGCGCTCGTTTAGCTGCTCTGTACGCGGGTATAAGCCCCCAAAACAAGATTTATTTGCTATATCAAGCTACAAAGCATTTCCCAGCTTCGGCATTATCAAATCCTCGCTCGCAATTAGATCGCCAGCAGAGCACGTTTTTCCGCTCTGCGGCAAGGCAACGCGTCTCCTTTAGATCCAACACTTGACTTGTTTGTTTTACGTAGGTACTTAATAATTGCGTATCAACAAGTGGCGGGCTACTGGGCTGAAGGTCGTTGCTCGATTGCCAGGTGCATCCGTACAGCGAACAGCTAATTGTACGAGCGGTGCGAGTGACCTGGTGTAATGCGGCGGTAGTTCGGCAGACGAGACGAAAATATATGACTGGGAGGGTGAGTGTTGGCTGGCCTGCTCGAGGATTGCCGAGCAATAAAGTCACGCGAAACACCGCTACGAAAATATGTTTTTGCGGACTTATAAAACACAGCGTGAAACGAAGCCGGCCCTGTCGGAAAGAAAGCTAAGATGTCATTCGAAGGCAGCTTCGTTTCTTCGGTTGTATATTGAATGTCAGTCGAGGCAGCTTTACGCGTATAACGTAGGCGTTCGCGGATCGACGCGCAGTCGGGCGCGCGCAAATAAAACGCGAGAACGAATTCGACCGACTGCCGACGGCATTAATTGCCCGCGATATTAATAATAATCACGGAGCAGCGCCAGCAATGGCCGGCAATTAAGCAGAGCCGCAATAAGCCCGACGCTGGATAGCTCGCTGATTGAATGTCGCCAGCCGACGCTTCCGGACGAGCTGGGTCGAGCGCGACTGATTGTAAATAGAGATTGCAGAGCAGCACTCCGCGCGAGCCGTGGAAGCGCCTTTTCGAGCTATCCAACGAACCAACGGCGGCCACACAGCCGGCGTCGTTGACTTTTGGCGCCCGGTGCCCGGCGACTACGACTACGACTACGACTACGACTACGACTACGACTACGACTACGACTACGACTATGACTACGACTACGAGGCCGCGGCATAATCGGCTTGCAGTGCGCCAGTGCGCTCGAATTAGGAAGCATTAGCTCGCTGGTGCGCCGCCGCGAGCTTTTACTGCGATATCGATATCCTGCAGCCCGGCTAATTGACGTTTACGACGAGGCTATCGATTATGAGTTATATCCGCGAGAGGCCTACGCGAGCGCGCCTCTAATGCGACATCGCTCGCTTTTCCATCGATCGGCTCGCGGGCTTCGCGCGTCGCCTCGCCTCGCCTCGCCTCACCTCGCGGCCCCGCTAATTGTGAGAAATGCCGGGCAGAGCGCGAGGCCCGACAAACTTTGGACAGCCGGCTGCGGCGGCAGTGCAGCTGCCGCGAGAGTTATGCAAACAAAGAGCGGCGTCGGGGGCCCTCCGGTCTCATCAATAGCCGCCTGGCCGAGCCCCGAGCGAAAGCTCGCGGCCATTCCGCCTGCTGCATCTTGCGCCCCGGCGAAACTGCCGCCCGTGACGCGTCGCTCAGCGGAGCGCACGGCCGCAGCTTTGCCGCTTGCCGCCTGCCTTCGTAAAGCGGCTTCGCCAGGTGATCCGGTCGACGGAGCCGACTCGACGGAGCTCTTCCGCGGCGAACGCCGTGCACTTTTAACCGGCGTGAAACATCGGAGCGGGACGCGCGCTTAAGCCGACCGTATTGGCAGGAATTATTGCGAAATCAGCCGGCCGGTCGAACGCTGCCGCATTGTCTGGCTGTTGGCGTTTGCCTGGCTGTACGAGCTGCGGCTTCGCTCAGCTCGTTCTATTCAGCAAACAATGTTCGCTCGACGACTTTCGTCCTCGTCAGATTGCCGAGCGACGTCCTGTCCGGCGGCGCTGGGATGCCCCCGTGCGTACAGCCTGCGCTCTCCTCGGAATGGCAAAGCTAGCAATAAAGGAGCCCCGGAGCCGTCTGCGATCTGATTGCCATGACTTTGAACCGATGCGAGCGTTCCAGGCAAGTATTGTCCCGAGCCTTTTTTCTTTTGCATGTCCTCGCGAAATCTCATAAGAAGCTCCCTCAGGCCGAGGCAGCGTTGCGCAATATTGCACTTTTGCTAAATAATCAGATTAAATTCCGGAAGCGGGTCGCGATGGTCGCAACAAAAGTCCGACAATTCATCGTTGTCCTCGAGTTGGTTGGCGCGGAGCAGCCGCAATATAGCTTCATCGAAATGACTTTCTCTAATTCAAGCTCTTTATTTGAAAAGGTATCGGAGCTTGCCGCGGGCTCAAGAGCAGATCTGGAAAATCCGAAGAGAAAGAAGCGGAGGCGCAGCATAAGAAGGGAGAGAAGTTTAATCGTTTTCCCGAGGATTTAGAGCAGTTAAGAAGAAGGAGAAGGAGAGGGAGAAGGAGAGGGAGAAGGAGAGGGAGAAGGAGAGGGAGAAGGAGTGGGCGAAGGAGAGGGCGAAGAAGCGGCAGCAGGCGAGCGGCGATATATAGCACGGGCGCAAGTCGCTCGTCCATAAGGGCACGAGCGCCAAGAGCCGCTCGATCGTAATTCAAGCAGGCTAACCTACATCTATGAGGGCTCTAGTGGGCCGCATAGATTTGGTCGGCGGCCAACTCGGCGGAGCGAGGGAGGACAAGGAAAGCGAAATGATCGCGAAAGAACAGGAGCGAGAGCGACGGCGAGAATTAGACGGGCAGTACGCTTGTCTGGCTGTATATAATAAGCCGAGGAAGGAGAGCCGGCAGAAAGTTAACGGCGCAATAACCGGCCAGTTGCCGCGGATAAACGCGCGCTATGAGTTTTCTTTTCACCTGACATTCCGACTTGCCGAGGCTATCTTTCTCTTTCTCTTGTTCGCCGCTTCCAGCCCTCGCACTCCGTTCTCATTTCGGCGTGCAGCCCGAAAAATAGGCAATAAGCTCAGCCTCGAGCGTCTGTCGCGCCCGAGGGTCGACCGATCGCCCCTTCTCCCGCGCAACGACATCTCGCGGCGCAGCCCGCAAGGCAATTAGAAGGCTCGTTGACCCGTTGGCGCAATCGTTCGACGCGGATCGCGCGGAGTGGCGATCGAGAGCCGATGCAGCGATAGCGCGACGCGCCAACCTCGAGTGAGTCTCGAGACTGACGGGGGCGGCGGCGGCGGCGACGGCGGCGGCGGCGGTGGCTCGGTTCGGCTCGGCTCGACTTGGAATCGATCGCCGGCGAGGATGAAAATAACGCGTGCGTGGCTCCGCGCCCCGCTGGCAGTGCCGGGGCAGTATCCCTCGTATCCCCAGAATCCGCAGAATCCCCAGTATCCCCCGACGGCTCGGCCGCGCCGCCGAGCAATATTCGACACGGCGAAGCACTACGAATACTCGACCCAGATTCGCGCCTGGGAAGCGTATTCCCTGCGCGGTTCAGCGTTATTCAGCCAAAAGCTGAAAAATGCCCGCCGCCGTCGTCGCGCACCAACCGATGGCCGGACGTCGCTCGCAACTTCTCGGAAGTGCAGTAATTATTCAGACAGGGCGCTCGGCCGTGCGCCTCGCTAGCTGACCGGCCATCGGCGCCTTTGGCCAGCGGATGAACCAGGCCAAGCTAAAACAGGACGAGGAGCAAAGCGCGTCATCGCCGGAATCGCTCTAATTGCAGGTCCGATCAATGCAGCGGCTATTTATTTGCTGGGCCGATCCGCGAATCAATGCGACCTCGCTGCCGATGGCAAGCGCGCTGCGTCGCGCGAAGCCATCGACGTGCGGACACTTGGCCTTGCAGCCGACCCGATAGCCCGAATAGCGGCACCGGCGCGCGCGTTCCACTCGCGAATCAGCCAGTGAAGTCGGCCGATAGGCTTTCCCCGAACGAGGACCTCTAACGCGATTGCGTTTCGATCTTTGATGCTCCTCTCCGCAGCCGCGCGCCGGCCGCTCCAGCGAGTAATGGGATTAGCTGTGCTATCGATCAACGCCGCTGCATTCGCTGCGTTCGCTGTGTCCGCTGCGTTCGTCGCGTTCGCCCCGGCGAGCTCTTCGGCGCCCACTGCTGCCAGCGGCATTCATTACTTTGCTTTGCGCGGCTGCCCTCTCCTCTTTTTCCCGTTTCCATTTCATTCTCATTTTCAGCGCCACTCTCCGTACTCCGCGGAGTCCGATACTTCCATGCGATCGGGCCGCGGCAAATGTACTCGCCTAATTACTCGCACAGCCAGTCGAGCCAGCTCGCGACTCTTGGTGCGCGCGGCTAATTCAATCGGCCGCTTCCACTGCACTCGTTGTAGCCACTCGACGCGACCGGCTCTGGAACGCGTCGAAATTTTCCGAATTGAACGAGGCCGCGAGTGATCGAGAGGCGCGCAGTGCGAGCACGTATTCATAGCCGCAGCGAGCTCGTCGCGCAGTGGCACGCTCGCGCGCCTGCCGCACGACCGAACACAAAGACGAGCGCGCCCGCGAAATTCTCGCCGCCGAAGAACCGGTCGGGGCAGCAGGCCGACCACCGCTGCCAGCGCGAGGCCCGGCTCGGCTGTAGGCCGTGCGCGCGTTCCAATTAAGGAGCTTTTCCGCGGCTGTAGGCGCGCAACTCGTTAGCGGAGCCCGAGACCGAGCTGCGGCTGATGCGTGCGCCTTCGCGCCCCAGCGCGGCGCCCGGTATAACTGATTACCTGCCGGCGCCACGCCACGGCACGTACGCGCGGCCTCGTCGGCTGCTCCTTTTATCGTTAGCTGCGCTTTGTTCGCGCCCCATTTTTCAGCGGACAGCCGAATAGCGTCTCGGCCGCGATACTCGGCAGCTACGTCGCAGCTTGCCTCGCGCTGGACGCGCGAAGCCCCGGCACTTCGGCCTCGCGCCGCCTCTGATTTATTAGCCGATCGCTTGGCTCTAATATGCACGCGCAGCAAGCCGCCGGCCGAATTTATATTTAAATTGACCATTCGCCGCGGAAAGTTTACTAGGGCGATCGTGCTCTCGAACAATTTATAGACCAAGTTTTACGTGGCCCTCGGCCGCGCGCTTCCTCCCGTCCAGCGGTCCATTCCCGTGTCGATGCGTTCTCGTTAAATCTGATAATGCATTATGAAATGCGCGCCCGAGTTTTGCACGGCGAGAGCGAACAATCGGGAGAGCGAAGGAGCAAGCGCCGGCGGCGGCGCGACAGCGCAGACAAGCCAGTCGGGCCAAGGCCGGACGACCTGGATTGTCGCCGCCCGCTCGGCGCAGACTAATTCGCCAAGTTATCCACTTAGAAATCCGCTCTAGTGCCGCGTGCAAGTTTGCGCGTAAGCAAGAGCGGCGAGATCGCCGAGAGCGCGGGCACAAGGACAAGCGAGTTGCCGCTGGCCGCCTTACTCTGCGAAAGTGCGCGAGGCCGCTGCTCGGTCGGCCGCGCCCCCCCGCGCATTGCCGGCTGCGCTCGATGCGCGCCGGCTCAAGGCGATCGGCCGACGCTTGCCAAACGAGCGCCCGATTCCGCGTGGGCCGCCGCGTGTCGCTTGTGTGGCCTCCGGTGCGTCGACCGTCCGAGTCCAATCTCCGAAAAGTTGGCGGGCCGGCTGCGTGTGCCCACCGACGGCCAGCGAATCGATTGTCGCGGAGCAAACCGCGAGCCGAGCGGAGTGCTTTAGGCTGGAACGAGAGCGCGACCACGGGCGCACTCGATACAAGCCAGTGGATTTATTTGCCGTGGAAGACGCAAGTGGCCCCAGGGACAATGAAAAAGGAGAGCAGATGATTAATGGACAAAGTTGCCGGCCGGCAAAAGAAACAATATCAACAAGTGCACTTGCGCGTGCGATGGCTAGATCGCCAAGCTTGGCCGCGTGCCTGTGTGAGCCGCCCACTAGGCTACAGCAAACTTTCCCGTCAGACGCGCTCCTTTTTATTTCCGGCCAGCTAAGCGCGTCGATCGTGGAGCGCGCGCCCAAGTACGAGGCCGCGACAGGGAAAACGTGAGGTCGCTCCCTTGGCTCGTACGCGTGTCCAAGTCAGCGAATTGGCCCGCAAGCGAGGCAGGAGAGCCGGAGAGAAGCAGCAGCCCAAGTTCCGGCGTTCTTTTCCTTCTTTTTATTTTGGGAGGAAAGACTTGTTTGTCAAACAAGTCCGGGGAGGCTTCTAGCCAGCTGCCTTCGTTGGCGTTGCCTCGTCCCTCGGCATCCCCGGGGATTATCCCGGATCCTCGCGAGAGTTCGCAAGCTGCCTGCTGCCTGCCGCCAGCCGCCTGCCGCCTGCCGCCTGCCGCCTGTCGCCCGCTACCTGCCGCTGCTGCCGTCGACGAGTCCTTTGTTTTTACTCGCTACACGCACTTTCTCGGGCTCGTGCATTAGTCACCTGCCTGAGCTCGGCTCTTCCTAGGCGAAAGCTTTTCCGAATCTTAGCCCTTCTACGACTTACTAGGTCGTAGCGCCACTCGCGCACCCACCTATTCGCTGCCTCGGCGTTCCCTTCACACCTCCCACCACACCTTCCTCCCCGAGTTGAGCTTTCAAAGCCTCAAACTTTCAGCTTATCCGACACTCTGCGATCGAGCCACTCAGCATAATGTACAATTTGCTCGAACGCCAGTCGCCAGTCGAGGAAAAAGCGCCGGCTGAGCTAGACGAGGCTAATTGGCGAGAGTCTTTGGAAGGGTTGGGTTGGGCTCATCAAGAACTTGCTCGGAAAAACAAGCAATTTGGCATCTAGCGCGGCTCAGACTTTGTCGGTTGGCTTGATTAATCGATAACGGGCAAAGCAGTCGAACCGAATAAACGGCCATTGCTGTGTCGTGCGAAAAGCGCGACACCCGACTGACAGCCAAAATAATAGATGGGAGCTTGTACTCACGATGTCGAAGTCGAGATTCTGGGCGATCCAGTCCCGGCCCTGCTTGAACTCCTCGTGAAGCCCCATAATGTATAGAGTGTCGAGGCCGTCGACTATGGTGGCACCCATTGTCGAGGAGCCAAAGATACTGGCGCTGTGTCCCCTCTTGGAGATGGGCCGCAGCTCGTTCTTGCCCCAGGCGTAGCGCACGTAGTTGTCCCAGGCATGCTTCATCATCTGCAACAGCGAACGATCGATCTCGTTTATCATGCAGCTTCGCAGCAGCTTCGCGGCAGCTTCGCGGCAGCGCCGCGCGCCATTTCGTCCAACACCTCGGCGCGACGCGCAGTGCGAGCGACAGTCGGCACTCGACTTTTGGCCACTAAGCGGTCTTCGCGTGCTCGAGTTGCGGCCCCGTATGCCCTGGCCAGTGCCGTCTGCCAGCCTTGGCTGCGCTCGCTCTCCGCTCTTTCCCGCCACGGCTGGCTCGCGCAGTCTGCAGGAAATTAAATCGATCCGCGCGGGAGGACGCCCGCTTGCTAGCGCCGCACCCTCCGGATTACCTTCCATGAGCATTCTCGGGCTCGGTACACCTTTTCTCGGCACCCGCCAGCCCCGCAGCGCTCGCTGCCTCTTCCCTTCTTTTCCGCTCGCTCGCCGGCCTATTTCGTGCCGCTAATCCGAGCGCCCTACGCGTCGGAACGTTCACGCGGCCCATTTTCCGATCAAAGTCAAGCCGAGCTGCCGAGGTCCAAGCTGGAAACAGCGACAGCGCCCTTGAGCCAACTGCTTTTGCGCTACGAAACATTGCATTTATGACGAACAAGGGCGGCCGACGTGTCGTCAACTGCGAGTCCGTCGAGATATGGCCTCTAGCTTGCCTGCGTCCTGCCTGCCTTCTCTGTCTTATGTTACGTTTATGCGATTCGATTCCCGATTCATTAGACTATTTCATTTGATTTATCGCACGGACACTAGCGAGTATTGTACTTACTCTTACGTTAGTGATAAAGCAAAAGGAATTTTATCATTTTCTAGACAGAGTAAATATATTTTCTGCTATTAAAATCCTATTATTTTATTACAACTTTTCACCATACGATACATGTTTATTGAGAAATTTTTGTGAAAGTAATAATAAATATTTGTTTATTAATCCACGTGACTTGTTGGAACGTCAGTAGTTTTAATCATTCATTATTTAATTTTATCCATCATCGGCTGACATTTTACATTGATCAAACTAGAGAGGTGATAAAGATAATCTAACAATTGTCGTGCGTTGATTAAATATGTACATACGCAATGGAGCTGTTTTAATTACTTTATTCATCTTTGACGAATGTCGGACTTATTACTGTAGTTTAAGCAGCGAAATCATGATTTATTCAGGTGGTCGAAGAAACTTGTGAAGATTACCGTACCATGATAATGGTTCGATGTGAATAGTTGTTACAATAAGTAGACTGGTTAACTTATGTTTCAAAGACTTTTTCCAGACTAACATCGGCCGTTGAAAATTGCTTGCACTTGTGTCAAAAAACATTCTTAGTTCAAGAAATTTGTTATATAGCGATCGCGGCAAAGCGTTTTTCATTTGCCCTCAGTGCAAAGATTAATGCTGCGATGTCACCGGCCAACGAGCTTTCCTACTTTTACGAAACTGCCTCTAGACCTCTGTGATTGACAATTTTTGGCTGATTTATTTTTAATCCACATGTGCGCGAGTCAAGTTTGAAACTAAAGTGAAAAACCATCGAGAGATATTTATTTGCGTTCTGGCTTTGAGTGCATGCTTATTAGCAGGCTACAGCTTCGTTTCGAATTCTCATTAGCGTAAAGCACGCAGAAAAATCTCATATAAAACGCAACAAACAAAACATTATACGCGGTAATATTGCTTTCATTTCGTCTCGTAGTGGACGAAGCTAACTGATATGAATTGAAAAATCAAAAGGGTTACGGCAAGATGGATCTTAAAATACTGTTCAAAATAGGAGATTCGTAATGGTGACTTTGAATGAGAAATTGTAATGTCTCGAAGCTAAGATACACAGTGATTTGGAGGATAGCAAGGACAAGCGAGTACGTTGTCAGAGGATTAGTTGGTAAGTCAAAGTTCAAATGGAAACGTATATCATTAACGCGATTAAGTGCGAAGAGCGCGACTCGAGAAATGAATAACAAAGTGAAGCGATGAAGGGAAATTAATGTAAAAGTGGTCCCCGATTGATCAGTTAAATTGAACGGGAGCCAAGTTTTAATAGAGCAAATAGAGGAAGACAAGAAAAAAATAGGCGGAAATAAATGATTGAATAGCAAGAGCTGAGGTAAAACGAAGAGTCGAATAAATGGCGAATGGTCGATCGAGGATTTGGACGGAGAGCCGGTTAAAAAGCGAGTTTGACGCTGATTAATCGTAAGTGGTTCGCTTCTTGATTGCTCGTTAAACGGTTCCAAGCTTCGGCAAGTAGCACATTCTTCTGGCAGCTTTCATAGTTGGTCTGTTGCTTACAGATATAGACGGACTAAGTTGGGCAAGTCCAAGTGAAAAAGTGGAAAAGTTGGCAAAAAGGAGACGACGAAGAGGAGTTAAAGGGGGAATAAGAAATGCGAGCGGACGAGATCCAGCGCGGGGGGATAAGTATGAGCGGGTGCGTGGCTATTCGTCCGAGGTAATTACGGCTAAGTGTTGCCTCGCTGCCTGGCGCACGCCGTGCAAATAGCACGTGCTGGCGAGGCTAATCTGTTTAACATCGAGCCGAGGCTCGAGCTCTTGGCCGCGCAGCGAGCGCCGGATTTTTGGTCGTATCAGCTGCGCCATTGTCGCGGCTAATCGCGCGCAATGTCGATTTATTCATTAAGCTGGTTAGCGCCCAAAGGGCGATAATCGTGCACAGAGAGAGAGAGAGAGAGAGAGAGCAAAGCCAATCGCAGCTTCGGCTCAGACTGCAGGTGCGCGCACGCCTAAGACGACGAGCCGAGAGAGAGAGAGAGAGAGAGAGAGAGAGAGAGAGAGAGAGAGAGAGAGAGAGAGAGAGAGAGCGGCTTAGCTGCGACTCAGTGCGCTCGGCAATTAACCTCGCTAATTAATTCCCGGCGGAGCATCTCCTCCCCGGGACGCGCCGCGCGACTCATGCCTTCGTCCGCGATCGATCCGACAGCGGGCAACACGCAGCCACATAGGCTGCGTGCTCCGGCGAAAAACGGCTGCCGAGGCGGGCGAACCCGCGGCGGCCCCTGCAGCACTTATCGGGGCCTGCACATTCTTGCCAGATTGCCGAGCTCCGCGTCGCTGAAAAGAGTACAGGAAGGAAAGAAGCAGGGCCAGCGGGAGGGGACGAGCTTATCTCATTATCCGTGCCGGCGGCGCCGCTAATAGGCAAGTTGGGAGGCGCGAGCGAGCAAAGGACCGACGCCATTTCACTGCCAATTTTTCTTGTCCGCTAAGCGGAAAATTATGTTCACCTCCGGCCGCTCCCCCCTCGCTCGAGACTCTCTAGCCTTTTCAGCACTTTCCTTTTTGCCTTGGCTTCTTTTTCTCACCTCGGTCGAAAATTACAGTTAGCTAAAGTTTTCAGGCCAGTTGTCATCCGAGTGGCTGACGACCCATGGGAACGGAACTGGCGGATCAGCGCTCGCTTTTTTTCTTCGCTCATTGTTGCGGCCGCGAAGAAAAGATAGAGAGTAAAATCGGCCTTCTCTTGGCCGACTCGACTCACTTCCGGGCTCGCTTACGCATTGGAGCTACGAGGCGCGGCTATCGTTATCGGGCCGCCCATAAATATGCATCGCGCCTATCTTAAGCCGAATCTAAGTGGCCCAGCGACGGCGGCGGCGGCTGCGGCGGCGGCGGCGGCTCCAGCGGGCCCCGCCATTCGTCATGCGGGCCTACACCGGTGCAGTGGGCACTTACGAGCGACAGATATATCTGCGGCCGTTGTTTGCTTGCTCCTACGTCGTAGGCACGATACGTAGGAGAGTGAAATTTGCGCGATACTAATGCCATTTGTTTGCCACGGCGTCTCTGCAGCAACGTAGCTCGCTCTTGATCGCCACGTCCGCCCATAAACAGCGGCCCGCGAGAGAGAACGACCGAGTGGAGCGCGAGTTTGTTGGCCTGGCCGTACGTCTCTGCGGTAAGTGGAGGCGGGAGAGGGCTGAGCTATGTACTGCGGCCGGCCAAGAGCGATTGCCGACTGGGCCAGATACGCCGGCGCTCTGTCCAACTGCACCTAGCGATTGTTACATCAGGAAGTTCAGGGTTGCGTGTAAATGACCGGCGCCGTTAAGATAAGCCCTTCTTTCTTTCCTTATGTGCCTGGCCTGCTTCCTTCCTTCCTCGGCTCTGCCCTCCCGCTTGCAGTACTTTATCTCGCGCCCTCGGCCAACGCTCAGTCCAGGAGAGCCACCAGGATTTGCCTGGGCGGTCGCGCGCACGCTGCGCCTGTTATTTGGCGCCGGCGATTGACGTTGACTGTCGGCCGGGGGGCCCGCGCGCCAAAGGGAGCGGAGACAAAGGATTCATTGATTTGCTCTTACTCTGGAACCTTTTAATTTCCGCTTGGCGCGCCACCGTCACACTCTCGCACGCATCCGACCCACACGCGCATCTATCCAGCTAGTTGCCGCGGATAGATCCAGTACACGCGGGCTATACATCACCGCAGCGGAAAGTGGACGCGCGACAAAACTGACGCACGTTTTATCTGGCCCGCAATGACTCACCTTTTGTCCGCCAAGAGTAACGACGCTGTCCGCGCACTTCTGTCGTGGCTTCGAGGACCAAATAAAGAAAGGTGTCTGCGTCGTCTACTTACCGGCAATCGGCCAGTCGTGCGGGGCGAGCCCGCGCTAATGACTAATGGGGGCTACTCGGAACAAGCGATAATCGAATGGCGCCAGCTAAATCGTCAACGATACCTCTTTGACTTTCTCTCGACGCTGGTGCGTGAGGTCGTCCAGGGCCGGGCTCGGCGGTCCGATCACGTAAGGGCCCAGCACGGGAGGCGGCGCCGCGACGCCGGGCGGCGCCGGCTGCTGCGCCGGCTGCTGCGCCGGCTGCTGCGGCTGCCGCGGCTCGTCGCTCGGCTGGGGCGGCGGCCGGTGGCGCACGTTGACCACCGGGACGCGGCGCTGCTGCGTCGGCGGCTGCTGGTAGTCCTGCTGCTCGGACACGATGTTGTCCTGCACCCAGGCGGGGTTGAGCTGCTCGTTGCGCTCCTCCGGCGCGACGCCCCGGTCGACCACGCTCGCGAGATCGCGCCGCGCCACCAGGCTACCCGTCAGCAGCACCACCAGCATCACCGACAGCAGCCCGCTGATGGCCAGCCTCTGCATGAGCCTCATCTTGCGCGCGGCCTCGCCCACTGCTGTTGCCGCTGTCGCTGCGTCGCCGCCGGCCTCGCCGCTCCACCCGGCCAGACCCGAGCTCAGTCTCGCTTTCAGCACCGTCCTACAAGCAACCAATACTCAATGACTCCTCGGGCCTGCCTGCTTATCCGAAAGCACTTGTCGCTCCGGCGGTTCTCGAGCGCAGCCGGCCAATTTTCGCGTAGCCGCGCGCGACTCGTGGTTTTTTCGTAGCCAGGCCGAGCCTGCCGCGGAAACGCATTTGCTCCGGTGGATTTTCACCTCGGTACGTTACAGCGCATCGAAGAAAGTTTGCTGTCCTTTGAACGGCGACCTTACGAGACTGCGGATTGCTGATTGAAAATCGCTTTAGAGCGCATAATCCGTGCGCCGTTAGCAGCGAACCAACTTTTAGCTTTGCTTCGGGAGTCGTGGAACGGAGAAAGATGGTATTTCTTTTGTTGTCGACTCGCCTAGTAGTTTGCTCGGCAACTTGATTACTTTTTGCACCGTTGAGTGCGGGAGCAAGGGCGAGATCGGCGAGGGTGCAACGAGGCAAGTTCGAAGAACAACTGACTCGGGGCGCGAGAGCCGCGAGAGGCGCGACGGCAGAAGCCGGTGGGTTCTCGCGGGAGAGGGAAAGAGAGAGAGAGAGAGAGAGAGAGAGTCCATTGCGCGAAACTGGCTGTGAGCGTCGCGACAAGCCGAGCCGTGGGAACGGCTCTGGCTCAGGGCGCAGTCGCGAGAGAGCAGGCGGCCGCGAAGAGCTGCACTGCTGACTAACGCGAAAATGAAAATCGAGCAGCGAGCAGTGAGCAGCGGCCGGGAGAAAGCGTCGAATTGCCAAGTCGCGTGGCTCGCGGCCGGCGGAGTCGGGCTGGCGCATATAGCGCGGCCGAGATAGCAAACGGAGAGGACTTACTTGTCAACCACCTGTTGTCGTTGGCGTGGTTCAAGCACTGCTCGCCGAGTGCTCGATTATGAGGGCTCGAGACGCCGGGTCGAGTCGAGTCGAGCGAGTCGAGCGAGTTGGGATCGTTTAAGCAGCCTGCCACTCGAGCGGCCTCGCTGGACGCGCAGTGGCCACGCGAGGCTTCTCCGCGACGACCATCCAAGCCGTGGGCAGGAGAACAAGAGTCGTGCCGTTAGCCGCGCGACCTCGCCCGATCCGATGCTAATTGCACCGGAGGCCAACCCCTCCGCTCGAGCAGTCGCGTACGCGTTGATCTTCCGATGACAACTGAGCCAACGAGGAGGCACAGCGCGGAGCAAAAAACCGAGAGCGAAGCCTCCGAGAAGTCAGAATCCGCGAAAATTCCAAAGTGCCCCCTCGCTCCCAGAAGCAATTAGCCTGGCATACTTGTCTCGCCTCTCACACCTGCATTCCAAGATGCGCGAACGATTAAGCGCGCGCGCGGATATGGAAGTCGATGCTATCGGAATGGGCCGGGGTCAGAAAAAAGCAGCCGCGGGCGGCAGGAGGAAGGGGAAAACCGACTAGAATAATGAGCGAGCGGCGGACATTTGCGAAAATTGGAAGGAGGGCTCGGCTGCTCGAGGGCCGCAATGACTCGAATTCCGGACGAGTCTTGCTAGCCAAAGAGCCGGCGCGACGCGCCGCTCGCGCGCTTGATCGGCCGCCGCTCGGCGGAATGCCCCTCTAATGAGAAAGCAGGCCAAGCTTGCGACTGGTCTTCATCGATTGCACTTGGCTCGAGCTGTCGCTCGGACGATCGCAAGGTGCCGAGCGAGCAGAGCGAGTAGGCCGGGCAATCCGTCACGGGGGATAAGCCGCGACGGGGGAGCGCGGGAGCGGCTAGGCGAACGGGCCGCGCGTAAAAAACTTGGCCGATAAGCCGGCTGCGCACGCACTGGCTTAATCTCGCTCTCGTTACTCGCCGGCTGCTGGCGCTCGCCTCTGCGCTCGCGTAAATTTGCCGGCGCGCTAGGCGTTATAAGGCGGCGCTCTCTCGCATTATGCAGCCGTGCGATCGTAAAGCCCCACGCGTGTCTCGCGTGTCTCGGGATGGCGAGCCACTTGACGGGCGCGCGTGCTCGCCAGACCGAGCCCCGATGTTAATGACGACGCGCCAGCTAGTCTGCCGGCCGAACTTTGGCTTGCTACCCCGGCTCGATTACAAAGGCGAGCTTTCGAATCGCCCCCGCCGAACTTTTCTGCTGGCGTGCATTATCCAGCGGCTTCGTCGCAACTTTCCGTTTCGCTTTCTCCGATGTCGTATCGCTCTCAATGCCGCCTCGTCCTCCCGTCACTTTTCGGCTCCCACTCTCCCGTTTTTCCCGTGGCGGACAATGCCTATCGATTGTTCTTGCATTTGCGCAGCGGCAAATTCCAGCTCCACTTCGGTCGCCAGCAATTTCAATGGCGACGTTGCGCTTTTCAAGCCTCGATCACGGAACGACAATTGACCGTTCGAACGACCTGATTCTTCGATTCCCACAACATTTTCTTGCCGGGACTACAAGAGTAATACCCGAGTAATCCACACGGATCGCCTATTAAAGGCAATCATTTTACCCAAATAGTACAGCCAGTAGCAAGTAGCTGTGCTGATGAATGTCCAACTTGCAAGCAAAGCTCGCAAATATCGGTTTGACTAATAGTCACGATCAACTACAGGACTGGATGTAAACGGAGATGGGATGGCGGAGAGAGAGAGAGAGAGAGAGAGAGAGAGAGAGAGAGAGAGAGAGAGAGAGAGAGAGAGAGAGAGAGAGAGAGAGAGCGAGTGATGATTGATGAGCGGTGGCTTCTCGCGAGCTCATCGCACGGCGAGGAAATCGCATTGACCCTCGCCATAAGTAGACATAACAACCGCAACGGCAGCTTCTGCTCTGTCGAGGTATCAAGTTGTAATCTATTGTTTGTTTGCGTAGGATCGATCTTTTGCAAAAACAAACTGAAATGAATATTTTAATTAATCGAATTAGATAACTCTGATTGCAAGATATCGAGGCGACAGAATTTTCAAGCCGAATACGCACCAAATATATCAATAATACGGCGATGGTATATTTGTAAGGTCAGTTTGAGTTGACTCGGACACGTCTTTTTCATTCTAGTTTTCCTCGGTCCCATAGGAAAGCCAAGATATCGTCCGTGCGTCAGCATTCATTTTCACGTGCGACAATTTTCTAGCTCACGTCTAATTGTTAATCAGGCGCTGCTCGTCGTATTTCGTTTACAGTGCCGATATTTGTCTTTGTACCAACAAGTCATGCATTAATCGGTCAACACAGCTGCTATCGAATTAGTTCTAAAAAGACGGTGAAAAAGTAATGCCCGAGATTGAACGTTTATTCGGTCGTTCGTTCGAGAGCAGGGAGTAGGTTGAAAAAGTAGAGTTGCTCGAGCGTATCGCATAGGCCGAGGCGAGCGTGCGCCATTGGAAAGGGGGTCTAGAAATGTCGTGGGCTTATTGTTGAAAGAAAAGTGGTATCAGAGGTGGACGGCGCGCTGAAGTTTACGAGTCCCCGGTGCTCGCTGAGCGGGACAAGTAGCGCTGGGCTCGGTTGCGCAACTACTACTTAGAAGACGCCAGGAGACGAATATATAGCCGCGCGGGAAAAGGCGCGTAGCACGCGAGTAAGAGAGTCTCGCCTTAATCATTTGTCTCGCGATTCTCCGGCTGGCTGGCTAACTGACTGACTAGGTACGTGCCAAGCGGCTATCCTACTGGGTAGCATTTGTAAGGCTGGATTAGAGCTTTAATATGGATGTGTGGGTTTGCACGCGTGGGCGCCCGCGCAAATTCGTCAGCCGCCGGATTATTATCAATCGTGCGCGCCCTTTGGTGCTATTCAAGCCAACGGCCAGCTGTTTTGACGGATAGAGCTGTTTGCCAACCGTTGGCTAAAGCATCTCGCGGCACGGAGCGACCGGAGACGAGGGCCAAGGCGAGGCGAGACTAGGCGAGGCCGATGAATCGCAACGATTGGCTGGGGAGAGTGGGGCTGCATCGAGTCAAGTAAGCCAGAGCTGCTGCAGGCGAAGAGGGCGCGCTTCTTTTATCGGCCATTGAGCTGATTAATTGTCGATATCCAGGAGGCCCAGCGGTTCTCCGCAGGGCTGGATATCGAATGCCAGGCAGAGCGGAGCTAAGGAGCGCAAGCCAATCGAGCCTATCTCTATTTGATTTGCGAGCCGCTGGAGTGGCTTATCCGATTTGTGCGCGAGCCGAGCAAGACCGAGGAGCGCCGGCGACGTCGGTGCTGCTCTGCAGTCCTCGGGGGTGCCAAGAGCAGGGCCCGGGGGCGCTGTCTCGGCCGAGCGAAGAGTCGGACGAGAAAGTTGCAAGCGGGGAGTAGCAGCCGGACGTGCCGCACGCGACAAGCGCTCGTCGATGCGAGACGAGGCAGCACCGGCATCCCAATGGATCGGCCGGCGCGCTGCTCGCGAGGACTCGCGGCCACTGGCTCCACTGGACGTTTCCGGCGAGCTGGCGCAATTAGCGGGAGGCGGCCGACCAAAGCTGCAGCCAGGGCCGAAGCGAGTCATCGACTGGCCCCTAGGCTCGCGAGACACCGCGCGAGACCGAGGGGCTGAAGCCTGCCGAACTGCCAACTTGCGAGTGCACTTGTGCATTAGCCGAAGCGTTGAGCGAGCAGCTGGCTCAAAGCTGGCAAGACTTGCCGCGGCGCGCAGCGAGTCGCAGGTGAACAAACGAGAAAGTTTATCAAGGCTCGTGCTAGCTAATTTATACGAAAAAGCAGCCTTCGCCAGCTACAGTTTCAATACGGAGTATTCAAAGAGAGCGAGGCGCACGCGGGCGGCGAATGTAGGCCAATTTACGAGTAGCGCGCTGTGTGTGTTTGCTCGCAGCCCGAGCCTGCTGCTCGTGTGTTTACCGGCAGCTCGCAAAGTGCAGCTCGAGATGACGACTGCGGCTCAAAGCCGGCCCGGCGAAACGAGCGCCTCGAGATTCTCCAGGGCTCCGCCTGGCCGCGCCCCGCCGTCTAATTTAGACTCGTAATGACGCGTGGCCGCCCTCCAGCTCCTCCGGCGCTTCCTTGCAGTCAGCTAGCTAACGAGGCCGAGCTCTCGCGGCCCCTGGCTTTCTTATTTGCGTCGCCGACTGGTCCGGT